GCACTTTGCTCCTTTGCCAGAATAAAAACAGACTGGGCATGAAAGAGCACAGAGAACACTTCCCTCGAGGGGGCAGAAAAGGCCGGGGATAGGACTGACCCGCGGGGATGCGGCAACGTGGGGGGAGGTAGGAAGCGAGAGGGGGAACGGTGGTGGTTATGATGCCAGGCCGAAAAACAAATCGCAAAGCGAAGGCAACGCGTTTAAATGTAGTACATGGGCGTTATCGTGGCAGCAACACGGAGGGGAGATCAGAGAGAGCGGGATCCACTGGGAGCGATCCGCCCCACTCCGGGGGACGGAAACAACACGCTGCTCGGCTGTGGCTACTGAGCGGAGTTCAGCTGTAAACACAATGCAAAACAGAATGTAAAATAGGACATGTCTTACGCAATGTCAAAAGATATGAAAGATGTGAACCACAAACGAGAAAGAAATATACGAGTGTGTAGGATTGTTAGTGCGTGAGATAGGTAGGAAAAATGATGGATGGATGCTTGCCGCCGCTCCACTGGGTTGACTTTTCTGACCCCGCAACACTGTAATGTTCTTCCTTTGCTCTTCACGGTGTAAAATAAATAAATGAATGCTAAACACAAATAAATAAATCAAAAGACAAAAAATAAAATGAAGTGGGGAGGAAGGAAACATCTCAACTGCAATCTTCCACGTCTTTCAGCTTCAATTATGAAAAAAATCTAATCTTTTTGTTCAACTTCATAACAAGACTTCAAGAGGGCCCCAAGACTCCAATCCAATCCGCAGCTCAGTGGTAGAGCAGAATTCCATTAATTATGTGACCTACATATCCCTGTAGTTAATATGCCAGACGGATGGATGGAGTGAGAGGTTATACATCTGCCAATAGCCCAGAAAACTTTATCTATTATCAATAGTTTCCCTTTCTGGTCTTCTTTTGGGGGCCACGCACAATGGTCTCTTGGCTCATGACACTGCTTGGCCCAATGAACACTCATGCGAACAAACAAACTTCCAGTTTCCTTTGATTAAAGCAGGCAGGGAACTTTTGATTTTCCTATAGGCAAGGATGAGCGGTACATACTCTTCTTGTGATTACTCACATCAAAAAAAGGTCTAATCTTCATCAAAATAGATCATCCGCGGTATTTACGGACTCAGTGGCTCGCCCCTGTTTAGCATTACTGCATTTGCAGTGAATACCTGCAGCAGAAAAATCTAAGAAATGCACTGGGCCGCACATTAAGCCGGCTTGTCAAGACACGTCTCGAGAAGGGAAGTTGGCGTCTTGGTAACGGAGCGCCAGCCGCTGCTTGTGAGCGACCGCGTCATCCTCATCGCTGGCTCACGGGCCGACCTCTTAATCAGTGTCCAGAGTGTGCGTGAGTTCCTCTTCTGAAGGCTGAGGCTGCGTCCGTCTTGCCTGCCCATCGCTGCTGCCAGTCCCGGCCATGAATATGGAGCTGTTCTGTGGCTGGGAGCTTGCTTATGTTTTCTGTCTGATATCTAGGCTCCATTCCCATTTCAAAGGGAGGTCCACCCGGGGCCTTGACTTTTTGATCTGCCTAGCGACTGAGTCGACCACCTGCATGTGGGATCAGCTGCCAGCGAGAATAGACAACCCCTCTGCTTCAAATATACATCCCCCCCCCCCCGCCTCTTCGTGCAGCTTCATCGGCCTTCACTGTGCCCCCCCCCCCCCCCTGCTTCCGTGAAGCTGCCAGGAGCCCCCAGCGGTCCTAACTGGGTCTGGAGCCGACTGATCTGACCGTGGTGGGTGAGGTGGATGCTTGAGACGTCCGCGATAGCAGCGGGAAGTCTCGCGCAGCGGCCACGGGGCCATTTGTGAGAAGCCATAGCGCCACTGTGCCTCGCAAACAACAGATGCCTTATCAAAAAGGTCCGTGGCTTCTCTGATCGGGGGGGCCGCGATCCACGCTGTGAGCAGTAAGCAGTCGCAATGCAGACCGAAAACCCACACATCTATGTCAAACTCTCAAAAGGTATTCCCGAAACGGAGGAATTTATTTGCGAAGAAGCTGACGAGTATCCGCTTAGGGGACCACGGAACTGTTAATTGTTCCGTGGTCCCTACAGCATCGCCTTTTTACTAAGTTGTAAAAAGGCGATGCTGTAGCCGAGACATTTTCTTTGTGGTGCGAAGGTTCCGGTGGTAATGCTAAACAGAGACTAAATTCAATGATAATAGATCGTTTGATGATCACAGATATGAATATGATATCAGGTCTGCCTCATTAGGATCACTCTGCCTGTCACAGTATAATTAAAACCCGAAAGAATCTAAAAAAAAAAAAAAGTGAATTAAAAATGAACTGAGAAAGGATGTCCACCACTAGACCACTGACTTCCACGGAGTAAAAGAAGACAGCTGACACGAGACCGAGGCAGATGTTTGAGAGGCTTGTCATTAGGACACAGCCAATCAAAAGCACCTACAGGGTTTTATACTAATTACCCTCCTGAGCAGTGATGAGTTTCACTGTCAGACATGTGTAAGATACATTTTCAAACAATGCAACAGCTATTTGAGATGCGTGTGCTCCTGAATAGTTCTCACAAATCAGGGAAACTCAAAAGTCAGTTAATTGGCTTTCTTGAACTCTGACAGCTGGCTTAATGGGTGTCTAATTGTCTCTCAGCTGGGGTGAAACCCCGGGACCACCAGGACACTTCAAGAAGAGGTGTGAAGAACCAAATGCGGCACCATTAGAGGAAAAGGACACCATTTATCTCGTGGATCTATTTGTCTCGCAACGGGTGAGGGCCAACGTGTTGACTTTTTCATTTCTTAACCTATCGCTGCAGCGGTAACATCCAATCACAAGACTAATCAGGTTGTACGGACCTGACTGACGGTTGACTACTGTAGTGGTAGAAAACATGCTACGTCTCTTGTTTATTCATGTAGCTTTGACATTGAGCTTATTACAACAAAAAGGAGCAGCCAAAAACAAAAAGATGGAATATGTACCTGTGAGTGGAGAGATTGTTTGTGCCCATAGCAGGTCTGTGGGACGAGTGCAAACTTTACAATACACCACGTTGGGTCTTTTTTACTTTATTTGCCTCTTTGTAAAAAGTCATCTACTCCGGTTACCTGAAGAAAGAAAACGACTTCTATCGCAGAGACAAACAAGTGGAGGATGACGAGAAAGAGAGAAACTTCCCCCAATACAAACCATCAATATAAAGGAACTACAAATGCTCAGACATCACACACACAAATACACAATTAATCAAAAGGCAGAAAACTGGGGGAGCAAATAACGCAATGAATGGGCAAATGAGAACAAATTGCCTAAAAGGGGGCGGGGGGGGTGAAATATCATTGAACCATCCTGAATTTACTTTTCGCTCTCAGTTCTTCTCGCTCTGGTTATAAATGACTTCAGATTTGACGTTTCCAGCCCATAAACCCCCAACAAAACACACTTCCTTTTATTCAAACAGCGAAGAAAAGAAAAAGGAAAAGGCTTTTTTGTTAGAGAGTGACGGGGGGGGTCGTGGGGGGTGTATATGTTGTGCTGCTCCCATCAAGCAGAAAGGCGGGCGGTATAGTGGAAGGCGCTCGCCGCCGGGCCCCGCTTTGGAGGGCCCTCATAAATCCTGATTTGAGCGGGGCGCTAACCAGAGGAGGAGAGGCACGTCAAGCGAGGAGGGGGGCTTGGGGGGGTGCTGGCAGCTCGCCTCCGAAAACGCTACATCTGATTAAGTCTTCCCATCAGGTGACAGCTGAACTTTAACATTAATATGATAATATTGAAATAAGTGTGTTATTTACTTCAGGGGCGGAAAGGGGGGGGCGGAGGGGAGACGAGAGGGGAGGAGGGAATGATGAATGATTTCTGGACAGCTTTGGGTGACGTGCCAGACGAGCTGACCCCCCCCACCCCATCCCTCCTCTCCCCATAATCAGACTTGACAAAATGGAGACATATGCAGAAATATTGGTTACAGTCGGCGTCACAGCCCTTCTCAGGCCTTCCCTCTCTAGTCACCGCCGGCCGCCCCGCGAGCCGCCCTCGCAAATTGTCTCCGGGCACTGAAGCATCTATTTCAATTGACACTTCCTTCCTGGCCCCCAGGATTTTACATTTAGTCGGTGTCATTTACATATTACTCTTAATCAAAATCCACAGTGGGAGACAGGGAGAGAGGGGGAAAAAAAACAAAAAAAAACAAGAAAGAGGGGGAACGAGAAACAAACCGTGGCGTCACAGTTCAGGGGCAGCCACTTTATAACATGGAGATGTGACATGACACATTACCCTGTGTGTGTGTGTGTGTGTGTGTGTGTGTGTGTGTGTGTGTGCGCGCGTGACAGAGTGTAAGGTGGCGGCTGTATAACATAATCCAAGGACTATTGAAATATCTGCGTGTGAATGGTTGTGTTAGTGTGATTGTTGGGGGCTGCCTCGTGCGCGAACCAGCAGCGCGAGTGAGACAAAGACTGCGAGTTGGACACGGCTTGTAAGTGCACTTTGTGAAAAACAAAGAGGCGCAGAAGAAAAGAACGGCGACGCGTGTACAGTGGGAGCCCTTTTGCCGCGGGATCCGATGCTCGTCTGCCCGCTTCTCAGTCTACCAAGACACTTAAATACTGTTGTGCAGTAGAACAGAGCAGCCACTCACTGTCAGTTTGTTTGTTCAAAGAGTCAGAGTCGTATCAACGGAACAAGCTAAATTCAAAACCCCTCAGAAATACGAATAAGAGAAAACATAACCTTTAAAATGTGTGATTACGCTGCAAAAGCATAAATATTGCAGTTGCATTTTCATTTTTTATATTTCCTTTGAAACACAAGTACTGTGTTCATTGATCCATTTATCAACGCGTTCTCCTGTTTGTGTATCCGAGCCCACCTGTGTTCTCTGGTTTGATCAGAGCAACGTGAGCAACTGCGGCTGATCTTAAACAGAAAGATGGATTTTACATTAAGCTCACAGGACGGTCAAAGCACGGGTACGTATGCAGAGAGGTGCAGAAACAAGGTCCGTACCTGCCGCTTACCTTCTCAGCATGCCGGTAAGGATGCGAGAGCTCTTGCCCAGGTTGGCGTCCGTTTCTCTCAGCTGTTGGAACAGAACCGGTAAAAAAAACAGGTTTTAGTTCTACGTTCTTATCCAGCGGTTTTCCAGGCATATAAACACAGTCTACGTCTAAACTGAGTAAAAAATAAATAAAAATCGAACACAAAAGGAGTATTAAACTTTCCTTTGGCTGCTAAATACACTGCCATTAAAAACCTTTAAACGATTTACCATCCCACTGTAAAATGAGTAGCCGGAGAAAGGAGAGGCCTTTTCTTGTGACGTAACCGAGGACACTGGCAAATATCAAATGATCTTACATCACCAACAGATTGATGGATTAACGGCGACGGGGCCTACTTTTTATTGACCAAAAGTATTTAGTTTCTGAAAACACGTTACAGCATTGAAGTCATGGCAGCGCTCACAGTGGTCATTTGAGCTCGTACTGTTGCACAGATTTGTGCTACTGGCCTCAAGGCAAAGCACCTTGCTCAAGGGCAATCTCAGACGGCACCTCTAAAGTTTGATACCTTACACCCAAGGTTGTTGGTTGCAAGCTAGACGGATGAATAGAACATCCTTTGATAAGAAGTCAGTCCTTTTCTCTTTTTTCTGCTTCAGGTAACTGGTTTACCTGAGTACAGAACACCCTTAGTCTGTGAACCACAGTCATCCTCCGCTGTTTGTTTACAGGTAGAACATCTCTCTGACCTTAAAAAAAAGTCACCAACTACTGATTTCCCGCTTAGGAATTTAGGTCATTCGACCTCCCGCTCACCTTTCTTCAGAGCAAACATTACGGTGCAGGAAAAATAGTGTGAAGGGCCCTTTACTGTTGACATGCGCTACAAGCACAGAGAGTCCTTAAAGGGCACTCTTGAAATAATGATTATGGCTGATTGAATATTTCTCTTTCTATAACTCAATCTTCTTCTTTACTCCCTCTTTTTTTTCCCCCCCTCAGAGGTCAGAGAGATGTTTTCGTTCTATCATCTTATCGGGTGTAGACACTCTCACTGGGAAATGGAAATTGGTAGAGGTGTTGCCAACCGGGCGCGAGTGAGTGTGACAAAAAAAGAAATAGCTGACACCGCACCGAGCGAGCAAGCCACATACTGTCTACCTGTAGTTCCAATTTTTGGAGGATGATGAGGGAACGTGGGCAGGCATTTTTGCAGAGAGGTTCTCTCCGGAGTCGGCGGGGAGTCATTCATCCTCGTCTCCCTCTGAGATAATAGCCGCTTTCCCAATAAAGCCACTCTCGCTCAGCGGGTTTTCATCAGCGTATTATACTCAAACAAATTCTATTTTTAATTCCTCACTTTCACGTGTCCTCTTTCAACCTTCCCCTCCTCTACAATGGCTCCAGCATCACTCGCTTCTCCCCTCCCCTCCTCCTCCCTCCCCCGTTTGTTCTGGCTCATCTTGCAGCCATCTCTCAATCGGCCCTCTCTTCCCACCCCTCCTTACTTACTGCTACTTTTTTCCCCTCTTCTTCCATCCTTCCATCCTTTCTCCCCTCTGGCAGCCCGGGTTGGTGTGATGCAGGTTGCGAGAGCCAAAGATACATGTGGTACAGGGCAGGAGGTGGGGGACTCGGGGGTAGGGGCCCTCTGGCAAAGACAACAAGTCCTGCAGTTGCCTGATGTCTGCTTCTACCCACAGATCTGTCCCCTAGATACTTCACACTTTCTCCCGAAATACATCTCCCTCTGAACCGTTCCTTCTTCCCATTGCTCGCTCTCTCTCTCCACGGCCTCTTACCAGGTCTCGTGCTATCCTGCTTAACCTGAAATGAAAACGGACTCCAATAGGAGTGCAGCAGAGTTCTGGGGCTAAAAACCAAACATATTCTGACGCATACAGCAAACTCAATCTTATTTGTGTTACCTCATTCGGCGAGGGATGACATTTATTTAAATGAGAATCTTCTGGATTACCATTTTAAAGTTTGTAAGTTTGCTGAGCACTGACTTTTGTCCTAAAATTTGACAATAGGGACATTGATTGTGCTTACAATTATTTTAGGTCCCATATAGATGGACAATAAATACAAAGGTCATGTCATGAATATGAGAAGGGAGACAATAAATGTGGCAACCTGATTAAATTTAATTGCGAGAATTATTCATCAGAGGGGTCGGAAAAAATCAATAATTTGTGCACACAAATTGCTTATTTTGGTCCCTGAAATTAGGATTCATACCCTCGAATTAATAATTTTGTACTGTGGAATTATTGATTTAAGGATATACTAATTTTAGGGAATAAATATTAAAGCATTTCCCATGATATCTGTCCTCCTCTGTTTGAGCCAGACTGCAAAACTCTAAAATCACACCCTTCAATCCACTGTGGTTCAGTTGGAAGCAAACTGCTTTGACCCAGTGTTGAAACCTTCCATTGACTTCTATTTGTTCCATGAAAGAAAAACAAAAGGCCACCCCCCCTGCTGGGGTGTGTGTGTGTCTGTGTGTGTGTGTGTCTGTGCTCTGTTTGATTGTTTGTGTGTTGGCATTAATGCTAAAACTGTACTTCCTTCCCCTTCTTTTTAATGCAAAATATGTGTTAACCAGCTCTTCCATCCCCGGTCTTCTTGTTTTCTTTTCGCCGCAAACTGCCTTTAAAGCCCTTTTGAGTGTGTGTGTGTGTGTGTGTGTGTGTAATTGCACGCGCTCACGTGTACATATGGTTGAAGGGGTTCAGCAAAGAAGACTCATGGGAGGAAGAGGGAGAGAAAGAAAGCAAAAGAGACAGGGAGCAGGTACTCTCGGTAGACGGCGTGCAGCGTTTTGAAAGGAGATGTTTGACTTCCTTTGAAATCGCCCGTGCGAGGCCCACTGCCATGTTGTGGTCTTTAAGAGGGTGCCGTCGGTAGCCGAGCCCCCCTCCCCGTGTTTGCTCTTTCTCTGTCTGTGTGAAACAAACTGAGGAGCATGGCTAAGGATTTGGGGTCGGTTGGAGGAGGAGGAGGGGGTAAGTGAGAAGGAGAGAGGGAACCTGGAGAATGAGTGCCGAGGGGTAAGAGAGAGCGGGTGAGGAGGGACGGCCGCCGGGCTCGTCCCACTGCTCGGATGAGGACTCGGAAAGCGGGGAAATCCTGGAGGAAGGAGGCCACGGAGACAAAAGGCACACTCAACGTTTCCCCTCTAATTAAATGTATGTGCGATATAATGCAATCAATAAATACGCACATTAACAACCGTGACTCTGTGTGAGAGCGCCCCCCCCGCCCCCCCCCAAGACGGTGCATCGTGTACTCGGCAAACCACGCAGAGAGTGCAGAATGCCGTCAACGTTGCCAAGCAGCAGTAACACCTTTGCGCTCTCGCAAACACTTGTTAGAATAGACAGGCGAGTGTGTGCAGGTGGCATGCGCTCACTCACCCTTTCTCTGGCTCGCTGGATCTTCTCACGGTCACTGTTCAGGTTGGAAAGGATCTCCTGACCCACTTGTTCTGTAAGGTAAAAGGGGCGCAGGATGAGAAGAGCGCGCGCGTCTGACATTTGCAGAGATGCAATTAAGATTTGTGACTTTAGACTGCAACATCAGGAGTAGACCTTAATGATTTGTAAACCCTTTAAGACGAGCCATGTGTCGACAGTACTTTTATCCTACATTGATTCACCTTTTTAGTAGAAATTGTGTAAAATGTACACAGCATAATATAGTCTTTTTTTTTAACTTACTTAAAATGCTTTGAGCAAATAGACAACAAGTTCAAGGCAACAATACGGCAGCATCTCGCGTGCCGGTGGGGTCCACCCAGCCAATGCAATATTCATTACGCCACTCGTTTTTAAACGCCTCTCTTCAGTTGTAGATGTAAACACATTAGCGCGCAGTTACGAAACATCCCCGACAAGGCACCTGACAAGCTCGTCATTGGTCACTGTCATTTTCCCGTCCTTAGGGTTGAGAATGAGAGAAAGAAGAAGAAGAAGAAAAAAAAAAAAAGGATAAACCAAATAAGCTGCAAATCAACATCCCCGGTGCTCTGCCATCAATGTAACCATACTGCTACAGTATTAGCGTTTTAAAAAAAATGAGGGAGGCTGAGGATGAATCAGGGGAGAGAAAAAAAAAAAGGAAAAGAAGTGAAGAATCTTTGCATGGATCAAAGACAGGCTTTCAAGCGCAACAAACAAAATCCGGAATAAACAACGCAGTTGCTGACTGTATTACACTACACAGGTGCCGCACACCAAAGGGCCCACGTGCTGAGCGCCTGTTTGGAGGGGGGCGCGGGGGGGGGGATTGCAAAAATGGGCTACATCTGGCAGCTAAACAAGAGAAGAGAGAGACAGAGATATGGAGGGAATGAGAGAGAGAGAGAAGGAGAAAGGGGGTTCAGGCAAAAGAGGGAGTACTGTCAAATGGATGACGTTCGTCTCCCATTCATCCCGTCCTTTTTTACCCCCCAGCCCCTCACACACACTGTAAGTGACTCAAATGTGTCTCTTCCTGCCTTCATTAATTTCTAATCTGGGACGAGACAGATTGAAGGATACCCAGATTAAACAGTGCAGTCAGACAGTCGCATGTGACAAATAGGGCAGATTAAAAGACTGAGTGCAGGTATTAATAACCATAAAAAAAAGGAGCCCGCCCCCGTCCCCATTGGAGAAGAACAAGGGACAAACAGGAAGGGAGTTGTTGCAGAAACCCTCTGTTAAAGAGACAAATAAGCACTTCTATCTATCTCTGTCAGGGCCGTGGCTCTCTTTTCTCCAAATAAATGAGTCTGACAAGGATTGGGGGCGTGGGGGGGGGTTGAGTGCATTATTGGAAGGGTTTGCAAACGGGCGGAAAAGATGGACGAGGACAGCGGGAGAAGAGGGCTTGTGATTATAGCTCCACCTGAGCGATCGGCGCACATTACGCGCATCCTGTGAAGGCATGTTACGCAAGAGCCATCAAAAGGTTTAATAGATGACCCCCACATCTTCTCTAAAGCGGCTCAGTCAACAGAGCTCCAGAAAGAGGGTTTGTGTAAAATCAACATCAGTTCCATTGGAGTGTGTTAACTACACACATTTGACGGTAATCCCTCCCCCAACACACACACACACACACACTAAGTATATAAGGGATGTGCAGGACGCCTCCCGGGGGGGAATGAATGGCGCTCGCTGTCTTTATTGTGCGTCCTCTCTTGCATTGCTCATTCTCTGACGTTTATCTACATCTCCATTCATCTCGGTTAAGTTCTGCCGTCCAGTCGGCCGTGAAAAACGCCATCGGTCACTGGGGAGAAACAACTTGTCGGGCACAAAAAAACAAAAGAATGGGACGTTAGTAGAGGGATGAGAGTTTCCTCAAAAATGTTATTATTACCCTCATCACGCACTTAATAGGCTCCACCCAAAAGGAAATACGGCAAACTAGTCCCTAATATCTGATCATGTGGTTTTATCACTGGCCTGAAAATATTACATATGAATGTTTACTGCGAAAAATGACTATAGCAAAATGTAGTTGACAAAAAGAAAGCAGGACAGGAGAAATCATTTAGCGTTAATGCTCCCGACTTGTTGCTCGTTAGGGTTTAAAATATTCTCCTCCTGTTTAAACAGCCATTAAGAATTTAAATAAACCTGGCCCAGAGGCCTTGCTCTGACTCACTTGTTAAAGATCCCCCATCCCCCAAAGGTCCATTTAACAAGCCCATTATATTACTCTCACACCAGCAGCACTGAGCCTTAATTCAACTTACTCCCCTAATGTTAATGTAGAAGAGAATCAGTATAGAAAGGTTGAAGGCTCGAATTAGATTGAAGGGGGAAATGATGTCTTGATCCGGAATTAGACACACGGCCGACATGGCACACGGCTCCGTCGCATCGACTCGACGCTTATTAAAATGATTTGGTAGATGTAGAAATGTATTTACTGGATGATTAACTTTACCGGTGACGAACGGGCGCCGTACAAAAACACAGCCAAACACAGTCTCTTTGCTTCAACGAGCGGTTTTGGTAATTGTGGATTTTACACCTGACCGAGAGGATGCTCCGGCTCGACCGATCATTAAATATTCTGTGTAAAATAGAAATATCCTAAACTGTGTTGTCCTGGCTCAGGATGTTCTGGCACCAGTCGATCCTCCAGAGCCTTCAACGTCCCCCAGTCCGTGGACGCGTCTAATTGGAGGCATCATCTATTTTGCAGCAGCTGTTTCGTAGCAGTTACTCGCTGTCTAAGGGCTCTTTCGCTCTTTCATTGTTGGGGTTTTTCTTCTCTTTTTGTCTTCTTTTTTCCTTTTTCTCCTTGCCTTGCTCCCCTCCGTCCCCAGAGCAGAAAGGGTACAAGACCTGACAGTGGTGTGCGCTGAGGCTCAGCACAGCTCCTTTTCATTAAGCAGTTGAGACCACTTTTTGAAGGTTACCACACACAGTTGGATCCGGACACGAGCCACACACTCCTACAAACGGGGCATGGGAAACCCACGGGAGGGCTGAGGGGGAGTGAGGAAGAACCTGATATATGTTAGACCACACATTTTCTCTCACACACACACACACACACACACACACACACACACACACACACACACACACACACACACACACACACACACACACACACACACACACACACACACACACAGACAAAGTACAGCAGTCAACTTATACGCCTGTGACTCCCAGGTGAATAAAGTTACCTGTCTTACGCTTTTTTTTCTTTTCTTTTTTAGAGCTTCTCAAGTCTACAACTGCCTGGTGACAGACTTTCATCACCTCCATCAAAGTTGCACCCACACTGGGATGTATTTGTAATGCTGAGCCCACAGGCCACCAGGCTCGCGCCTTTCGACGCCGAGCTACAGCTCAAAATAAAGAGGTGCGAAGTGCCAGGTCACGGGGAGAGGGGCGGCGAGGGGGGCATGCAGGTTTTTGGAAGCTCACCAATGTTGCGCTACGTAGTCAATTCTAATAATAACATGATCTCTAGCATACGCTAATCAGCAAGTGTTTGGGTCTGTTGTTACCGCCCCGGATTCCTCTTTTTACAAGCACACTGTAATCAGCCAGCTGAGACAGGTCCAGGGGCCGTGCACTGAAAACGCCCGAGACGAGAGATATTCTGGGCATGGAGAAGCAGGGGCCGGTCCGAGGCTGACTTGGACCCCCTTCCTCCTGCATGTGTATGAGCGGCGGCAGCGGCAGCGGGCAGTCAGGGTGGATTTCTGGGGGCCTTTCTTCACTCCGCCGGGCTCTGTTTTATTCATCGCCTGCGCCCTGACCCCGCAGTGCTCCTGTTCTGACAAATCACTCCTGATTAAGACAGATCTCGGTTAGCCGGCCGCTCAACTCGGCCTATTCATCATTCCGTAGGAAATATTCATCTCTCCTCCCCCGTTCCTCCTTCCTCCCGTCTCGTTTAGCCTGTCCGTCAGACCGAAACCGGGGCGCGAGAGAAATTTCCGCCGCTGTTTTAAATGGCTGATTATGGACAATTGGTAGATGGAGAGACGTAAGCGCGTCTTATGGGTGATAAGACGCAACTTTAATGGGTATAAATGACCGGGCCTGGAGGAGAGCAGCTGGTAATAGGGCCGTTTGTTTAAAGCTGAACTGGGGTGGAGAGAACTGAAAGCTATGTTTTCCTTCTACTCCAGCTCCCCCTCCACATTTCTCTCTTCCGTAACCTCAGATTCTCAGATCACCGGATTTCCACCTAGTTTCTTTTTTCTTCTTTCAGCGGAATTGAATGAGAATTGATGGGGCTTGGAAAGGAACGGCTTGTTTTACATTGATGAAGTGACCCCACACGTCCCCTGTGGACATGCAGATACTCTCACACAGCCACTCATACGTTACAGTGTTTCCACGAGTGAGTTACAATGTAAACATCATATTCACCGTCAGACGTGTGAGACCATTTATATGCAAAGACAGAGCGCAATAAACTACAGCAAACATCTCGACAGCGCCGCAGCCATTGTGTTAAAATGTCTAAACAAACCAGATTAAATTAACCTGAACGACAACCCTGCTGGTGGAGAAGTGGAGAAGTGGCTGAGGTGGAGAATGAGGGTCCCTACGAGCAAATTGCCTGGACTTAATCAACCAGTCTTACTGAACCATCCAAATGAAAACTAATGGACTTGGGTGCTTGCTGTGATTGCCCCACGTGCAACAATGTGTAGGCAGGAGCGTTTTGCTTTCTGAGGTCGTCAATTAAAAAAAGAGGGAATTTCTACAGACGGCTGGTCAGCCTGTATACACATTCAGCGCACATCGCGATTGGTCGATTGTGAAGCTCGAGCAGAGCAGACTTATTAATTCCAGTTCTTGTGCGGGGAAAATGTTTTTTTTTTTGTGTGTTGATTAAACTTTAAATTGTAAAGGAAATAAAAGGTATGAACTGTAAAATTAAAACTCACTTCCGAATGAGCCAATTTGTGTATGCATTATTCATATTCCTGACATTTGTGTCACACAATTTGGTTAG